AATACCTCTTGTCTTGAATCCGCGCCAAGCTGAACTAGGTGCATATTGACGGTCAACTGCACGCAGTACTACGAGAAGTCCTTGAACAAGCACGGTTCGACCATCAAGCTCTCCAGAAATTGAAGAATATTTGTCGATACGCAATCCAAGAGTACTCGACTTCGACAAGCACGACTTGGTCACGACCCTTAACCCTCAATCTGCTTTTGCTGATAGCCAAAGTTTTCACCAGTAACAGCAGGGGCGGCGGCAGGGCCCACAACCCTGAACGTTTAGTTTGACGGTCGAGCGGGATCCGGTGACTGACGATAGTTGATTTCAGCGAGGTGGTTGTCGTATCGCGGAGAGGCAACTTCGTATATTGACAATGTGAAGGGCTTCGATTCTTCAGTACTGATTTCGATGCTTGTATGCAAGACTGTGAATGCGCTGTATAGTTTAGCGTCTATGTTGCATATAGGACGCATCGGGGCAAGCCTTGGGAACAGGTCGGCGGAAAGCAAAAGACAGAGGGGATAGAGTCTCGAGAAAGAAGGGAGAAGAAAGCACGCGAAAAAGAGAAACGGATACCATTACTTTCGGGCATTAGCCAGAGCAAACCTCAGCAGATAGCGAACATTCGCTGATAGCAGGTAAGCATACACACGGCCACGCAGATTCAAGCACACCGACCGACCCAAAGACAGGCCTAACCGAGTAGGGGGGAACAAAAATGCAAGCGAATAGTGAGTAGCAGGCTGGGGCGGGAACGACAAAACTCCCAACCCCCAGAGCAGCTTGCAAGGCAACGTTCACAGAACCTTCCACCACTACCAGTAACAGTGGCACCGCCACGGGACAATGTTTGGTGTGGGCGCGCCGTCCTGTTCAGCGCGTCCGCGCACGGGTTTGCGCCCACTCTGTCGTGGCGGCTGCGGCAGGAGGGGAGAAAAGATAGTGAGCCCGCCAGTGGAGGCCCGCTTGCCTGTGTACACAATTCTTATTAGTGAATTTAAAATGATATTTGCATTAGAGCGGTGAACGCTGAGTAGAGGGGGCGCCGACCGGGCGACCAAGCTGCATCCACGGCAACACAGCAAGAGATCTTAATGGGGGGGGGGGGGGGGGGAAGGGACAAAGGGGAACCCTGTTGCGATCGATCCGCCCCTGCATCACGGTGAAGCGGTGAAGTGGAGAATCGCAGTGCCATCGCCGCGGTCACACAGCCACAGGGAGCCTCCATTCCGTGTTACTTCTCCTGCGCCGGAGGCTCTTGAATAGCAGTAGCATTGCTAGGCGACTGATACATCTATATAGACCTGCACATACGTGGATAGGCGCGCGCACATACATATATATATGTACATCTGCGGGGATACGCAGCACTAATGCGACCTGTAATGCGACCCATCTGGACTCGTCGCTTGTACGCCCGGCTGCCCGCCTGCTTGTTTCCCAATGGACCGGATTGCATTGGATAGCAACAATGGAGTGCGAGATGCGGCAATAGTTTCTATTGTTTCTACCTCACTGCCCCGCGGAGCCATGAGGGGGCGGAACTGGCGTTAGCGGGCCACCCAACGAACATTACTTAGTTGGCACGAAGAGCGAGGAGAACGACCCACTGCTGGCCGACGCTCGAGGTTAAGCAAAAGCAGGAAGATGACGTTGGTTATTTAGCTAGCCAACGAGGTCGAAGAATCCGAGGACAGTGGGGTTCCTTGTTGCGAAATAACTACGGCCAGTTCAGATGGCCGCTTTGTAGAACAATGAACTTACGAGCTCAGTAGGCTATCTGCCGGAGGTGATAGTAAAAAAAAACTGAAAAACAAGCAGCAGCAGTAATTGCTAATGGCTTAAGCAGATGGGTCTTGACAATTGGCAGCTAAACTTCTACTTTGTGGAGGTCACAATCAGAAATACACTCATTTGCTCAATCAGCCACCCAAGGACACACCAATACATTCGTTATTATATCTTCTTGGCTTCTAGCTTGGCTCGAATCGAAAAAATGGGAGAGCTGTGAATGTGCCGCCGTCAGGCCATCTTCATGAATTGTCTTCAGATTAGGGAAATAAGCGACTGAGCAGACGGCTTTTCTATAAAGCGCATGTGTCGATTGATTTGAACTTATCGATTTTGTGCCCCGCACGCAGTATTACATATATATATTTAGAATAAGCTATATAAGATATACATTCTACATAAACTTCCAAGCTTTATTTTAGTAAACGGTAGGCCTAGAGATTTACTAGGAGATTTGACACTATGTTTATTTTATTATATCGAAAAGATTACACAGTAATGGACGAAAACTGCATAAGTATATTAATAATCGAGATCTCGTCAAGTCAGTATGCACGATAAAGGGCAATACCATTGTCCTTTAATTCGTCTGTTAGGACGGCTCGAGATCGATTTCGATTCGGTGAAATTTTGGTTAGACGGATGTTAGCCAGTATGGGTTTGGTCATATGGGTCTATGTGAGTGAAGGAGAGAGACTGTACATGTGATAAAGCATCGCAACATAGCCTGGCATGGTTTGCCTAGTCTCATCCTTCTTAAGCGATAGTTCTGAGTGCGAATCAGGCCGTCGTAGCTGCCGTCACTGGGGATAGGATGATGAATAATTAATTACCGGTACGCAGCTACTGCTAGGGGACGAAGGGCAGCCAATGGTGACACTCGTTGCTCTCTCAAGCTGTCGTCTAGAGGGTCCGGTAACGGCACTTTGTCGTCCAAGGAATGAACGGAGAATGGCCATGACCATCGACAGCACAGGGCAAAATGTGGAGTAGAGATAGACAGGGGCAGCGTTGGACGGTTAAGGGACAGCAAGCAAGACCGTAGAATCGCTGGGCATCAAGAATGGCATAGGGACGAGCTCAAAAGGCCAGAGAACACGGACAGATAGGGGCATATCTTTGCATTACGCTAGGACCTGTGTGAGACAGGATGGAATGAGCAGGATTCGCAGAAGTGGGCGTATACTAGTCCTATGCCAGCTACGCATATACTTTGTGCTGCGTAGAAGAGCTATATGTCCATACGAGGACATAGTCCACTGAGAGAAAGGCCCTGGTCCAGGAACAAGGGTCTGGGTAATCTGTAATGGACGCTGAAAATGAAGGAGAGTGGAGGCCAGGAGAACAGCTCGACTTCTTCTAATAAGCAGGCCCGCTGCCCTGCTATCGACAGCAAGGGGACTCCTTTTGAAGTCTGGTTGTCCGTCTGTCGATCCAGCAACCATGGGAGAAAAGAGCGGACAAGTACGGCGGGGTGGAAAGTGGGGGGGGGGGGGGTCGAACGTGCACGCTATTACAGACAGGACGACTCCTGTCGCCTGCTACTGTCCAAGCCGCTAGAAGCTTAAGTCGAGAAAGGACAGCTGAGCTCCAACGGCGAAGTCGAAACCCTAGTCCAGAAAGCTGCACGTAGTGTATACGTAGCTGGCTAATATGAATATACAGAGTAAACCCGTGGTTTGTGTGTCTGTGTGTGTGTATATGTCATTGCCTACATATCTCTGTGTGTGTACGATACGATTGCCTGACATCGACTTACTTCGAACGTATTAGCTTGTCGTCAAAAAGCGCTGACTCTGGATGGATGGGGCATCGGCGGATGGCTGGGAACAGCTTTTGTATCTGCCTTATCTGCTCTTCTTCAATGCATCCATCTGAACTTTAGCTAGGGGGTTGAGGCGTTACTGTTTTACATATCTGCCTGTGTGTCCCTTCATCAATACATCCACACCTAGATCTAGCTACAAAGATACCTGCCACTCCTTTTGCAGTCACCTCACCAATGACCAATGCAAGCGTCGTCATGTCTTCCGTTTCATTAAACCGTAGGATGCAGCGATGTCGATAGCTTACGAGTGGTCAGACTGTCGACGTAGGGCTATCCGTCCTAGGATACCTCTTTACCCGAAGCAGGAACGAATTGAGCAAGTCAGCTTGCTGGTATTAATTGCGGGGCCATATTAACGGCGATAGATCTACATGTGTACCGCTGTTTCGGCTTACTTTTGTGAACACGCACAGGCTGGACTCTATGGAAGGGCAAGCTCATCCTAAGAAAGGACCGGGATGCAGCAGCCATGCCCCTGTTGCTGAGGAGCTGAAGAAGGAAAGACGGAAAGAAAGAGGCAAAGCAAAAAGATAGCTTCATATGCGGCAATCAGACGAAAGAGGGGCTCGTACAGAGCAAGAGAAGAATCCTTGCATGAGGAGTCAGGCTACATGAGACAGACAAGACTAAGTGGCCACTAATGGACAGTATTCCTGGCTAGCTACTCTTTCTTCTCTCAGGGACAAAAAGATGAGATCTTCACTTATGATAGTTACAGGTATGACCTATATATGTATATATATTGGTTTTTGTGATGAAGCAGCTATCAGGCTGTAACGTGGCCTTTTATAATGTACTACATCTATATGTAATAATGACCTATTGCGGCATAACAGCTTGCCTAAGATACTATAAATAGAAGAATTGTTATATATACGCGAGCACGCAAGTATTAGGCAATTCCATGTTGTGAAGGCAAACAACGGTAAACAAAACAGTTTGTCTATCGTCTTGAAAACTGAACGGTGCTATGGGGACTGCGATAGGAGCGTGGCAGAGAATAAATAGACCATAGTACTTCGGAACTGTAATCGAGTAATCTTCAAAGCGAGTTCCAACAAACACCCGCCTTGTTAATCTGTAATCATATAGCTCACGTGGATCCGGTGTGATATTCGTGTTAATAAACAAATGATCATCGTAAATTTTTCTTATATATACTGCAGAATTTCTTGTCTTCCATTGATACAGGTAATCGTTTATACCTTGTGAAGATTATAAATGAAAATTAGCTGACGATTTTTAAGTATAAACCGCTTGTAAGCTGAGTAAGTGCCAGCGGCATGTTGTTGACCTGCATTATTTGTACATGATTTAATAATAGCTTCATTATTAAATTAGAAGAGCAAGCCGGTGACTTCTGGACATATATTTTGTGCTGCTTCAGGGAAAGATGATGGGTGCTGCTGCGAGCGGTGGCTCACCTTTGTCATCATATCTAATGTATGGGGGCCATCCCGACGCTACGTTCTCTCAACCGCCGCCCGCTCATATGGGCATTTCCGCGCATGGCGTGCACATTGACAGCAAAGCTGGTGAGTAAATGAAAGAATTACTTCTCATTTCTAGCATCGACGCTTACGGGGTAAGCTCTAGCTCTTTTTCATTCACATAAAGACAATATCTACGAACTTCTCTGCGTTTTCGTTAAGATCATTGCTGGTGAAGCTCACACCAGCCGCAATGCCTACTTCTACTAGTATAAATAAAATAATTGTCACGGAGACCATCCTACACGTGTGGCAGATTTTTGTTTACATCTGATCTTTGCGTGCGGTTTCGGCTTTCTTCTGGGTCAGAAGAAAGTCTCGGGTGCGCACTAATTATAATTCCAGTTCTTTAAATTTTTTCGAGGGTCACTAACGAAGTTAGTTGGGCATACAAATTTCGAAAGTTTGGCAATCTAAACTTTCGAAGTTTGTACGCGACTGCACTTTCATTAAAAGCAAACATCGTGACAAAAGGTTCGCTGTCGTTTCGTTAACGACCACTTTCGTAGGTTTTTTTTTGCTAAAATCACATCTAAACTTTTGGGTTAAATACCCGAAGATTTCTACGTATCGGTCAACAGATGACACTATGACCACCTGTTTTAATTACACAAGCGCATTTCTGTACGACGGAACTGCTGTTAGCAGCACTAGTTATGGTAGGAGTAGCAGCCAAGTTTCATTCTCTCATTTGTTGTTGCTCTTGTTGGGTTATTAATCACAGGTTGCTATTTTCACGTTGTGAGATGTTTCTCCAAGATAGCGACGACACCGGTTAGGATTTTTTTTTGCTATGCTACATTTATTTTCAACACAACAGGCACTTTTATATACAGGGACGGGACTGTCTGCTTCGTAGTAGAGTTTTTTCTTTTCGTATTATTATAATTATTACCGTCATCATTATTATTATTTGTATGTACACGGTGTTGGTGCCGTCCAGAGGAGAGCAAATGGACGACCTCTTTGGAAGTATCTACAGGTGCGCTCAGCGCAAGCGGACACGGCGACCAGGAAGAGGAGCTGGTCAAACAAGGTTAGGTGACACTTTCGGGCGGGCAGGCGAAAGTCGAAGAGAGCCCAGCGAAATCGAAACGAACTCCTCGTCGTTACCAAAATCATCATCGCCACCTTTCTGACTTCGATTGCCACCGTCATGGCCACCAGAGGTAGTGCGTGCGCAACAATATCCTAGGGTTGTCGAGTGCGCGTGCGATTTGGGCTTATTAGACGTATGACATTTGGGACCTTTAGCCCGCCCGTTTAGGCGGCGGCAGCAGCCTTGGCAGCAGAGGCGGCGGCCTTCTTGTGCCAGCCCTTCGACTCGAGCACGATAGGGACGGGCTTCTTGATGACAACGGGGTGCTCCTTGACCACTGGTACCTCGACAGGAATGTGCTTGGTGACAGGCACTGGCACATGCTTGTGAATGTGCACAGGGTAGGGCTTTGGCACCTTAACTTCAACAGGCACTGGGACGGGCTTGTGCACAATGTAGGGCTTAGGCACATGCACAATATAAGGTTTGGGTACCTTCACGATGTGCGGTACAGGGTAAGGCTTCTTGACGGGTACCTTCACAGGCACTGGCACCTCTTTGGGAATATGGACTACCTTGTGCACGGGATAGAATTGGTGAACAATATGGGGCACTGGGACAGGCTTAGGTACGGGCACCGGCTTGTAAACTGGCACTTTTTTCGGTACATGAATAACGTGCGGCACGGGTACGGGGTGTGGCACGGGATAAGGCTTGTGCACCTTCTTCACGACCACGGTGAGCTTCGGCTCGTACCATCCATGATGGTGGTGCCAGCCATGACCACCTGCGTCAACGTATCCAAGACAGCACAGGATGAGCACGCCCACCACACCCACCAAACGTAACATGACTCTGCCTGCTTTCAATCTATCTCGTTATTATATCTCTATCTGTATATACTGCTGCTGCGTCCTTTGTCGCCTAGACTCCACTCGAACCGTTCTCCTACCAAACTGCGTGTTCTTTCACCTGTCCCTATTCTTGCGTTCAGTTCCGACTCACCGTGCTTTCACTACCACGGAAACGACGACGTCGGCTGACTGCTTGGCTTGCCGCCGCGCCGGCTCTTTTATAATGCGGCGAAAGGTCGAAATGGCAGTGGCCGAAGCGTCTGGTGGCAGTGGTAGTGATGTCTCAGCGCGTTGGCTCAACTCGTGTTCGGGCCCAGCTTCGGGCCGCCACGCGCTGTCCGCTATAGCGGCGGCGGCGGCGGCGGCGGCGGCGGCGGCGGCAACAGCAGCTGCAGTTATAACTTCGGTGGCTTCAAAAGGCAGCATATTGTGTTAGACGTCTTGGGGAGACCGACCAGCGGAAAGCAGCTTGGGACTGGGGTTTGCGGGAAGGAGCACGTCAGACACGTGCAGCGCCGTCTCGCTTGTGTCCGTCCGTCTGTCGGTCCGTGCAACATTCGTCCAGCGTCCGTCCGTCCGTCCCTTCGTTTGTCTGTCCCGCGGCCCATCGGTGGACCGAGCGGCATTCGTTATTCTCATTATATAATTGCTATTCAGTAAAAGCGAAAGAGCTTACCTCTACTACAGCTACCGCGTTGGTCTGCCAACCACCGCCGAGGTAAAATGTCTCGACGCGCTGCTGACCGACAGACCAAGCACGTTTGCTACAGCTACTGTCGCTGTTATTGTTGTTGTTATTGTCGCTGGTGCAGCGGTCCGATCCACCTAACGGACGCGTAGGGAAGCCCCGGCTACTGCCTCATAACAGCATTATATTGCTATACGAAGGCGAAAAAGGTGAAAATGATGGTGGTGAATAGCGGCCAAGACGGCCATCAGCAACAACAGAGACGATGATAACAACAGCGAACATGGCGCGAACAACAGTAGCAAATCAACCAGCCGCGGTCGTAGTAAAAGCCCTGGAGCTATAGTTGCTGCTGCAGCAGCAGCTGCCCGTGGTGGCATTGATGCTGATATCAGTGATAATGGCTATGCACGCACCTTTTTAGGCCGCGCAGCCGGGAAGGCAGGCGAACAAACAGACAATAATCCGCCTACTGGGCTATAAAGTAGTAGAAATACACCTGAAATTTATGCCATGTTCGGCGTCCCCATTGTCGCCGCGGACACTCCACCTGTCGCTATTTCTTTGGCGTGATCAGCTGCAGAAGCAGCCTTATTAATGACAATCTTAATAATAATAATAACAGAGTCTAGACGAAACAAATAGCGCAAGATACTCGAAGTACGTAAACAGACAATCCGTTTCATTAAAAGACATTACTTCCCAAGCTGCTGCTGCTGCTGCTCCCGCTGAAATTACTGTCACTGGAAAATTTTTGGCTGTTTTAGCGACATCGATAGCTCTAGCGATTATTTTATTCAGACGTTTACGTACGCAAACTAGAATAGCCTCTTCTATCGCGGCGATTGCACGATGATTGCTTCGCCATTGCGTTACTGCCAGATTACTTCTATCTAATTCAGTGATATATAATACAAACATTTTATTGTCGAAGACTACTTTTGGAATAATGTCCATTTAGCGACTAGTTGTCTGAGCTGGTCACGATACGCTAAAATCTATACAATTATCCCGTCTTGACGTTTACTGCTTTGATGGGCCGCCCAGATATGTTCCTACCTGTCAATACAAAAAAAAAAATGTCCTAACGCTGAATTTCGTTGTAAACGATAAACTGTAAAAAGACGTGAAATTAAATAGAAAATTACTTACTTAGACAACTTGATTCTATCCAATGACAGATCGTTTTGCATTATGCGCTTCCCATCAGAGATGCAGAAATCACCGAATTTATCACTATCCCTATTGAATCACCCCTATCACTGTCCCCTGTCGTTTTTCCAACAACATATTCTTTCGACGACCACATGGAAAAGCAATGTTTTGAAGCGATGTACGGACGGGAGACAACAGATTCTCGATCTTAGAACTTCGCCAAAGTTTGCCATAAAACGATCTAGCTACTACGTAGAGACCCTGTGAGAACAACCCTTTCGAGTGATACGCTCAGTTTCAATAGAATATTCATAATAACGTTTACAGGAACTCCCTGTGAACTTTGCGCTGTCGATTTCATTGTAGCTGCTTTTTTTTTGCTTCTTGCAGTTACTTAAGTGTAGCGTAAAGCCATAGTGTCACTAATTTACTGCATAAGTGACGCGCTCCATTCATTGGGACGATCTATAAAGGGCGCCAAGCAGATACGTCGTTGGCATGTTACGACAGATAAGTTCCTTGCAGTGAAAAAGTTGTAGCGAAGTTCACGTTGCACTCAACCAACAAAACTGACCGTACTTCTGAAACCAAAGTTTTCCAACAGCATCTTTTTGGGCCAGACCGAATCGTGCAAGGTGAGCATGTGAGACGGAACGGAAATGCTAATTTCGAACAGCATTACCTTATGTGAATCAAAATGGGAAAGATCGAGATGATCGGTCAAAATCGTAATGCTGGCCCTGCTGATCATGATCATTCCATCGAACGAATGTTTCCTTTCAACGACATGAAACCAAACACATCGAACGGTGCGGTACTATTCAAGCATTACCGGCTACTACTATGACTACTACAATAGCTGCCATCGGCTACTGTTAACACGACTGAAGAACAACGGAGTCAGATAGCTCAGTCGATTCCGTCCGACCAAAACTCAGTGTCTTCTGCTTCAAAGAGTTGCCCACTAAAACAGGCGTCTATGATGCGTTATTGTCAATCCCTTAACATTACTTAATAATAATAAACGTACAGTCAAAGCGCTGGGCCGCCGTACATCCTCATCCTTGGTCGAAGGACTTCCGAGGAAGGAGAAGCTAAGTCGACTATGCACTCGGGAAGCCAGTCAGGTGACAGGACAGCTTAGATAGCATAGAGAAACAGAGTGAGTGCAAGGTGCTGATTCAGGTTATTATCCAGTCAAGGTGATGTTTACTGCATCATCCCATCTCTGCAGCACCATTGTCAAGCGGGAAACGAGAAAAGAATCCTAACTTTTTAATAGTTACCAAAAATCTGTCGGCGTCAAGATATATCGTGTGGTGTTCATCTTTATTGTTTCTACATATTTGTTTTGTCATCGATATCAAGGCACGGAGGCTTGACCTACTTAACTTGCTTGGTTAACAAATGTAACGCGCAAGGAGGAAAGATCACTGTTCTAGAGCTACTATGACTAATCGTCCATCACTTAACACGAGCAGCACAAAATAGAACGATATTACACTACTGTATAATACGTTACGTGGCTTCTATTTGTTATAGTCCATTACTTGACGTAAACGTTTGCGTCGCTTTCCAGAGGCTGAAACACATTAGAATTAGTAACCTTGAGAAGGGTCGCCTCCTGGTGGGGCCTTGGTTAAACGCTCTAGCGGATAATTAGTGTTTTTTCTTGCATAAAGACCGATTGTTTGTTACAATCAAAAGACTCGAGTCAACATTTCAAAATGACGGTAAACTTGTTACATTATTTACCCACTTTGTTCTGCTGGAGGGATCCGTTTATTTCAATCGCTTTATGCATCTATAATACTAACTTGGACCATTTGTGATGATTCGATTTTAACTAGGTAAGTGATCTTCATCGATTTCAAAAACTCTGCATTCGAAATGGTGATGTGGCGCGACGTTTTCTAATAGCGCTGTTTCTCAGGGTTCATGTGAACGCCAGGATACCCAGTAGTGCTGTAGTGGGTAGCATGTTTGCCTGCTAAACTAGAACGACACGTCCTGCTAGTCTGGGTTCGCGTCCGCGTGTGGACACCCTGTTCTTCGGCGCTACCGGACGTCAGACTCGAAGCATTCAACGCCTAAAATGTCTCCGCACTGTAACCTATTTATTGTTTAAGGTGACGTTCACCCTCTATACGTTGTGCGTGCTCAGCTCGTCACAATCCATACGTTCTCCGCTCGAATTCCTCCGTCGCAATCCCGAGCACAGCTACAAACGCAATTACGCCGGCAGCGGTAGCGTCAAAAAACACCATCAAATATATTGAACGCGGCCTCGATTTCTCAGGTTTTTTTTTCTAGAAGGAAAACGTTGCCACGACCCCCGTTACTGTTAGAGCCAAGCAAAATTACGTCGCGGTACAAAGTACAATTGTGCCTTATAACTGTGCGTAGAAGTAAATAATATGATGGATTCCGGTGTTACATGTGCTGCGATGCCAGTAGAAACTCAGGTGTTCTACATCATTTTTGGCAGTATCATCATACAGAATACATGTTGTTATTATGCAATCTGCTACACAGGGTGTTTCTTAGGCGCACCTTGGCCTCAGTGTAACTGATGTTGCTGCCAAGTGGCGACAGCGGAAACAGTCACGAGTCGCAGAAGTAGAATCAGAATTAACCTTCACAACAACTGCCTTCCATACTTAGTACGTAGGGCGCTGGCGCATTAGGCTACACCGGTTCATTCGTCAGGGTCGATTCTGCTCTACCGTAACTGTCTCTGATGCTGCTGTTTGGTCATTGTCCCGCCCGCATCCGTCGTCACGCTGTTCACGCGTATCGTTGACTGATTCGAATCGGTCCTGATCTTCTACGTGTGGCATGCTCTTGCTTGCTTCAAGCGTTGCCGTCGCCTGATCTTCGCCTCATGCGAATGACGCGATAGGCATCCACGGCCACAGTGGCTGGGGTAAACGCACACGCAACAAATGTAATGTTACAAATTCATTCGAGCTACACCACTGCCGCTACGCCAACGGCTATGACTGTTGCAACGGGAACTACTTGTTGATCTGCAATGAACTTCTGCTGGCCCCACCTTCTGCGTGCGTTGCCGCTTACAAACACAGTCGACAGGTGGGACGGCAGCTGAATATCCTATCCGTTACGTAAACGTCAACATCACCACTGGTGATCTGGTTTAGCCCGTTTTCACAAAAAGAAAAAATTTAATGTAGACAGCGCAATAAAGTAAATGAAAGAAGGACTTTACAGCAGTAATCAATAAAAGGAAATTGCAAATAAATAACTAAATTAACTACTTCTACGCTAATTGC